CTAAAAAGACCTGAAAGACTACAGAGTAGAAATTACCTCTTGTTCTGTAGCCGAACAGGATCCAGTTGTTAATTAGCCACAGCTTTGGCTTCTGCCAAAACGCCAGTAACCTCACAGCAGCTTTGTTTCCCTGTGTTTGTCACTAATTGTTTAACTGCCTTTACAGAAAATTAAAATATTACATAGTATTAACAACAGGTAGCACATTCACTCCTGCCTTATTTCACATACATACCTGTAGAAATCATACTGTTCCACTACTGGAAAATAATCTTGAACATATGCTTCACTCTGTGTAAGATAAACCATCAAATCTGCTAAAATCTTCTGAACGGGGAGTGTTTTTGTGAAGTTGGTGATATTCGAACCAATGGATTCCAGCACACTTTTGATATCTAAAAGAATACACCGCACTGTTACAGTTCCATAGAAGATAATAGCATTTTATAAATGTGTAAGTGGAATGTAAATAAGCCATTTGCCACATGTAACAAGCAAGCCATGAAGACAAGCGTGAGGAAGAGATAAGCAGGCAACAAAACACTGAGCTTCAAATTAACAGAATGGCATTTTAAAACACACACTTTATTTTTAGCATCCAGTTTAATAATGAAAGATGTAGATGTCAAGCCAGAGTTCTCTCTTCCCTTTCATTATAATGAATGTGTCACTTTTTATCAAGCCAGCTTAAATCTTGCTTTTCAGGCAATATTGCAAATGGTAACAATGAGCGAGACAATTACCCACTAAGTTTACAAAGGAGATCAAAATCTATTTAAACTCCATCCCTTGGGAATAAAACACTGCGAAATAAATTAGGCTGACTATATTGAGAATCTATACTAGTTATTTTCAATCTTATTAAAAAAAGGTTACTTAAATAAATTCATTCCAATTAGTTAGCACCACTCTTGAGATAATGATCAATTATGCCATTTTTTTCCCTCAAATTATGAACAAATATTCCACCCTATACTTGCAGTTTAGGTATACCTTATTTAGATATACAAAGACATGATTAATTAATTTATTATACATGTTGTCTATTAGTAAAATGCAGTTTCTGTGTATTCTTCCCCTTCTTTCAACTTGGAAAATTCTTTTACATCCTGCTGTTTCAATTGAGATGGCTGTTTGGTAGTAGGCAACATCTTCCTCTTTCTCATACAAGAACTGGACAAGATTTTGGCTGTTTGTTTGGATGTTTACTCTTCTCAATTCAACCAGGAACCAAAACACTTTTATTTTAAAAGTTTAGAAATAAATGCAAGTTTTCTTCTACTGAATCCATTTCTTCTAATTTGCTTTGCAATACAAACTCAGTTTTTATAAAAATAAAAATAAAGCCATTTTTAAGTAGATAAATTAAGATGGCTTGTCTGTCTTTATGCATATTACCAGATACTGAAAATGAGTAAATCTGCACTAGATTGCTCACTAAAAAGCATAACATCAGTTTTAGAAAACTGGCTTGTTTTAGCCGAGTTCACAGAGTAGGTACACTATGCTTGTACACACACCATGTTTCATTTTGCACTGGAGAAAAGAAACGAAACCCCAAAAAACCCCACAACCCAAACCCAAAGAAACTTACAAGGAACAGCTGTTTATATATGCAGAAGAGGTCCACAATGCAAGAACAAAAATTAAAACAGATTAGTATACACACGCTATACTATGTTTTATTCAAATGTCAAGCGCCAGGTAGTGTCAGAGAATAACAGTGTAAAGCCTAAGCAACAAAACAATTAAGGCAGACATTTAAATTATCCTTAAAGCATATTTTTGCCTACCCTTTGCCACCCCCTACCTTTTAATACAGCAGGAGGTTGGCTCAATTCTTTTAATATCACACTCTTAAATATGCCATAGACACATCAGCCAAGGAAAATCAACTTTTCAACCAGATAAAGTGTCAGCGTGCAGCTGGGATCCCAAGATTTCTCATTACTTGAGCAGTAAAAAGCCTAACAAATACAAGTCCTCCAGAGAAAACCATATGGTCTGGTTTTAGAAGTCAAGTTTTGTATTTCCATTTTTAATGAACTTTAGCTCAGAAAATATATGATCAATAACAAAACATACTTCAGTAAGCAATGCAAAAATATCAAATTAAACAACCAAACTGAAAAGACAGTTTGTCCTCACCTGACAAAATGTTCCTGGTTTGATTCACCACTAAGTCTGGAGTATCATTAAATGCTGCATAACCCTAAGAATAAAAGTTGGGAAAATTATAATAAATTTCTCATTGTCTCACAATCTTTTTCCTTTTATACAAGGAATAAAAGTATACACATACTAAAATGTATGTGGCAATACTAAGAAAAATACATTTTTATCATTGCACATTTGAAAAGGTCAGAGCAAAATAAGAAGTCGACTACATTTTAGCTTCAGTTTGCTGTCTAGGGCATCCCTGGAAAAAAAATAATTTGAATTTAAACATACATGCATCAGTCACAACCATCTCAAAGCAAAGCCTGTCATTTCACGAAGTGCCTTCTACTCCTGGCAAACATTTGCAAGTGGCTAGATTTTTAAACTGCTCAAACTAAGCTATTTTTTCCAGGTGAAAATCATGGTGTTTCATGGGCAAACTTGTCAAAACTACTACTACAATAGTTACATCGCACCAAATTTAATATCAAATACACACATGAAGAATTTGAATGGCATATTTCGAAACAGTTGGAATACAACGCAATTAATTAGGAGAGCATACTAGTCAATTCATGGCTTTGCCTTTTTGTTTTTCAAGGATTTTTTTTTTCAACTAGACAATTAGCCATACATTTATGATCTGTAATATCCTGGGGATATAAAGCACTACGTTCATACTCTCAAATAATAAATCTTGGCTAAACAACGGAATAATAAAGAGAGATAACCACCATGAGGCAGGATGAGGCAGGAACAGGAGAATTCTGCTTGAGAAAGCCAAGGGAGAACAAGCGATGCATAAGTATCCCAGTTTATTAATTAACAGTTTACAAGCCTGTCAAGCAGCATACCTTTTGAACCAGACTAGAAAGGTCTATTCTAAGCACGTCGTTGACCTTGGCAAGCTGCGAGCTCACTCCTGGCAACTAAGAAGCAAAAAAACATTCTTGAGTCACATCAAAGTGGTAGTCTTGCTAATTTACTAAATATTTCAGAGGTACGAGAGAGGGTAAAGAAATTAGAAAGGTGATTTGTAGTACAATTTTTCTAGCACACTCCTGACACTTTTGCTCTACAAAAGCAAAGCTTAACCTCAGCATTTTTGGGGAGGACAGATTATTTCACTGCCCAGAGCAGCACCTTAATGTAGCTGCTTGACACACGTTTTATCCTCTTCTACAATGAAGAGGAAAAATCAGTGGAACCACCCAGAATCACAGGCTAAGGGAAGGTCGCTTCTCACAAGTGATAGCACATTCCAAGCCATCAAGCTGCAGAGATACTGCTGGGCTTATTCAAGGCAATCGCACCATAAGAGTCTTGAGAAATATTCTCTTACCCCACTAAAATTGGCATTTATGTTCAGTTGATTTAATGAATTCCTGATGATATTGCAAGTTGAGGCAGCCTGAGCTGCAGTGCAAGCAGAATCACTGAGGGTGTTGCTTAGATGCATTTTAACATCTGTCAAGTTCGCATGAAGCCTTTCCGTTCCCTCCTGCAAAACCTCTACAGACACGCTCACGTTTTCCAGAGCTTCCTTTGTTTCTCTGATGGCTGCAAGGTTGCAAGAGTTTTTTTTAAAAGAAAAAAAATCAGTTAAAAAACAGTCTGTAGATACACATATGAAGAGAAAGTGCACATTTGCAAGTGCTATGATGTTCTTAACAATACTGATTTAAACAACCCCACCTCTCACCCAGAAAAAAACACCTAGCACAGAATACATACTTACTGCACGCAAAAATACATCACTTATGTTTTCCTACAAACAAATTAATGTGCTCAGGCTATTTTTATTGAGGTTCTATCCACTTCTCAGATTACTTTTCTACTCCTTCCCTACCTCTCCTTACCCAGTGGTTCCAGTAAAGAACTTTAACATTTGGTCATCAGAAATTAAAAGAAAACCCATATCCACAAAACAGTATTTTCAGTATTTTGCTAATTATCCAACTCGCAAATTATGTAGCTGCAAGATGAATGGGAAAGAGATCATATTGCACCAGCAAGCATTAGTGAAGGTTCAATGCTGCCTGGCTTTAGATTTCATCCCAATCACACCAAACATTTAAAAAAAAAAAAAAGGATCAACAAAACACTGAACAGGTGTTTAGCAGACAAAAAGCCACACAAATACAACTATAAATACACATTACAAAAATGAAGTGCACTTCACACAACACAAGGTTTTACTGTATTTTTTTTTTACCTTTGATAGCCCTTTCCACTTTGACTTCAAGACAAATAAGAGAAATAAAGCAAAAAAGATGAACGAATGAAAAAGAATTCATGGGTAAATAAATCAAAGTGACTCAAATTCATGGATGCCTTTCCCTTTGCTCTATGAGCTATACCCGATTCCTGAAAAAAAAGCGCCCTAAATAGAAGAAATAATAGAGGAGGATTTTCATTGAAGGGAGACAGAACCAAGGATAAGCAATGCTCAACTCAAAGATACAATAAAGAAACGATGGTTAGCAGACTCACAGTAGTTTTGGCAGTGTGTAGGATGGGGCCATTATATGTTCACCTGTCCAAGACTAACCTGCAAAGGCCTTAGGGGCAGGTCTTAAGGCACAGTTTTCCTAGTCCCTCTTATATTAAATGGAAAGAGACAATCACCTGGAGCATGGAATTCGGATTTCATCTCTCTTCAGTGACTGCTGAAACTAGGTATCAATGATAGCCTATAAATCTTAATTTAGTTTTAAAACTTACTTATAAACTTTGAAATATCTGAAATCCTCAGTTTAAAAATAAACATCAAGGCATGTGGAAAAACAGTTGAATCACAGCACTGCATAAAGCCAGCCCAAGCTGTGCACTAGAAAGATGATGCTTGTCTTAGCACGGCAATGCAACATTAGTACAATAATATGCACATCTTTACCTCCTGCCATTGTCAGAGCTGCATCAAGTGCAGGACGCACTTCTTTTGCCAACTGATCTTGAACTCTGCTTCCAAGCAAAGGACCAACATCTGTAGTACAGAGAGATAATAAAAATCCATTATGCGCCAGTTCAATTCACACTACTTCTTAGCATAGGTGCCATCAGACTCTGACTTATCAAAGTGTACTCATACTATTAAAATTTCTCTAAGGCCTGACAACCAGAATCTAGGGACAGAAGATAACACAGCAACATAGTTCTCCTTTAGCTAACTATACGCTTATAAATGAAAGTAGTACATCAAAATATTGTAAAGAAGATTCACTAGCACTTAACCATACAGGTAAAGACACACCTCAAAAACCTCCCAGAAATATGTATTTTACTGCATCTATTACGTTTTTTGAAAGAGATTTTTTTTCCCCACCATCTATTAAAGAGTTTCAATATCTGGACAGGAATTTTGTGGCATGCTCTTTTCAGTACACTTTATGTTCTCGTAGTGCAAGAGAAACTAGAAAACGGATTCTTTTCCTCTCTCCCATTCCTCACGTATCCAGCATTGTCAAGGTCACCCACACCCCAGACCGGCCGGGCACCTCCATGCAAATCCCTTAAGCGTGTTAATCACATGTGTGCAGTGCCTGCCCCCTCACTCAGCGCGCCCAGCACCACCTTCACGCTGACCCACCGCCCTCCCCACCTCCAAACCCTCCTGCCTCACCGCCCACAAACAGAAATGAACCTTAGTCCAGCAAGAAAACAAACACCGAGCACACTCTGGTGAAGCATCTTAATGTAATGTATCCTTTCGGTAGTCACTAGGTCCCCTGGTTTTCAGATCACTACAAACATTTTCTTTGACATGTTTTTGCTCTTGACAAGATGGGAATACTGCACAGTACAGAACCATCCACTCCTGTCAGCACTGTCATATCTGGCTCGTGACGAGAATTTTTATCAAGCAGAAGCCACTTTGCAGTGTCTCCTTAGGGTGGGCAAACTGAACTCATCTACATCTCTGTCGAGGTTTATGCTACTGTTAATTCCCTCAGAATGAGGTGTCACACATGAAATTCTGGTACTTCAGGAAAACAAAAGCTATCTTTTTTTATTGATGAGCACTCTCACCACAGATCCAGCTAGGTTCCTGTTAAGTAACATAATAAATTGGCATTGAGAACAAATAAATATTTAGTATGAAACTTTGTGTTGGAGTGCCTGGAAAGGTACAAGCTAGTACGTGAAACACAGATGTCAAATTATTATTATTGATTTAAAGATGACATACTTTTTTTTTTTCTTTTCCACTAGAGTGTTCCTGCCCAGAATTAAGTAGTCAGACTACTATTGCTACCACAACTTCATTCCATGTGCTTTAGCAGCCTCATATAGACAAGACACACAGGCTACGCCAATGCGGTTGCATTGAAAACTACCTTTAAAATAAATTTTAAACCCAGACAGAAGCATGGATTCTAGGCTTAAGTCATTTCATGCCTAGTGGCATGTTGCCACAGCTGCTTAGTCTGAATCCAGCAAGAATTCTCTTTAAAACTAGCTTGGGTATTTCTGTATTTCACTTCATCTGAAATGCAGACCAGGACACATTTATCAGCACTTGCTAACAATGCGTCTTGAATTCCAATCTGCATTTAATATGGTTTGTCCTTTCTATTGTTACTCATTTCAGAAAGTGATGCTTTAATTAAAAAAAAAATAAAAATAAAAATCAGTGGTTTGGTTGGTTTTATTTACTTAGAGCTTTAAAAGGTGATGCCTTGTATTGTAACTGTGCTGAAGGGGAAAGTGTGGCAGTTGTATTTCAAATTTTATCTCCTGCTCTTCAACTGCTCATTCTGAAATGGTGAATACATTAAAGCAGCTTTAGAAAGAAGATAAGCTTATACCTCAACTTCTATCTGAGCAGAGGACAATGGTAAAACCACAAAAATAAACAGAGATCTCTCATCCACTGGAACCATCAAAACAGCTAGTAGCTCTGTTTCTTGACATTTAGCTCCACAGTTAAAAATTGAAGAGTAATATTTTTAAAAAGCATTAAGTATTGGTGGTTACTGAAGTATCAAAAGGAAAATAAAATATTAGCCTAACTTATTGTATAAGCAATTTAAAAGATACTTCTATTTCAGGAAATATGCATTATACCAGCTCTGAGACATTTTATGTGAAAAGAATTTCAGGTTTTAGTCTCATTTACCACTGAGAACAGCACTTCTGCTTGAAAGCCACATTCATATAAATAAAATTCCACTTTTTTTTATGAGGTATTCACATCATCTTATTGAAGTCTTTAAATACACATCACTAACCCCATTTAAATCAAAGTACTTACTATTTAGGTCAGAGAGTGCTTTATTCTTAGTTGTATTGTACTGGCTCACTAAGTAGTCAATTTGCTGAAAAGAAAATGATAAAAAAACCCTATTAAAATAATTGCAAATAAGTAATGCTTTTAAATAATGAGTCAAACAATCAAAATATTTGTGCAAACTCCCAAAATCCTGCTCTCTGCAGTATTCAGTTAACTAAGTATTTTAAAGTCTTGCTTGGCAGAGTTGCATGTAATAAAAGATATGTTTAATTGCAAAACCCGTTAGATTGGAACACCTCAGAGGTAAATGCTTCTGTTTAAAAGCGTTGAGTGGCAGGAACTGCAGCCTTACGAAGGCTTGAAGTCTGTTAGGCCAGTAAGGTTTTGCGTGTCTTCATTTCTTATTTGATCTTCTAGCAGCATTGGTTCCTCTTTCACAGAGAGGCACACAGCAAGATGATGGGGTGGTAACTTGGAAATAATTCACCAACCAGAGTGAGCTCCCTCTCGGAGTTTCTCTTGTGGAAAGAAGCTGGCAGCTCTGTCTTAATACAAATGGGTTTCCTTCCCCCCAGGTGGATCTCGCCTAGTCACAATTTCAGCTCTACCAAGACACCGTTAACAATACAAAACAGCAACTCAGGTATCACCACATCCTGAGTTTGGACAAAAGGCTATTAAAGAACCATTCCAAGGGGAAATGTTACTACACTAGTTTTAAAAAGACATTGAATAACATTCATTGATTTCCTCATGTTTGAAATAATGCATTACGAATCCTACCCCAACAAAGTTACAGTAATGTAAAAGTTAACACACTTGACAAACAGGTTTCCAATTTTAAATGTTGACTCGAATGTGTACCAAAGTGTATCTGGCTTGCAGTCTCAAACTTTCCACAAAGAAAAAGGAAGAAAAAAAAATAGACCAAAAAACATCCACAAACCAATCTATCGACCATCCAGGATCGGATTTAATTAAATGACAAAGTACGAGGCAGACCTCCTCTTCCAACAAAAGTAAAAAAAAATTAAAATGAGGGAGTTTCCTACTAAGAAGGCTGTAATTAAATTTGTGTTTGTTTTGTCTTCCTAGGCTAACTTAAGGACTAAAATTTTGCAGGTTTTGTACTGTCTCCAGCAATGCCGCAGACCAAAGGTGATTCTATGTTAGTAGTGTTATCGCTCAGTACTCATAGTCTGCAAATCTTCCATGACATGAACTCTCATGTGACTTCTTTTCGCAAATCCTCTTATATGCTGTATACATCATGTTGATGAGTCAAGGACATCAGTTAAGATTTCAGAGCTTCAGAGCCAATTAGCTGGATTCTACAACCGGTTTCAAGAAGCCAAAGTCCTTTTCCCATCCTCGAGAAATTCTTACAAATGTGTGTATGTATATACACGATACTCATGTCTGACAAAATGACTTAGAAAATATATCTGATGACTGTATCATTAAGTGTCACCAAGTCAAAAGAAGAAAAATTAATAATCCTTCACAGAAACTAAAAAACTACTACCTGAGGAACGTTGTTTGAGGAACTACTTGAGCAACACCTGGCAAAAACACTCAAGTCCTGGCATGTGTTAAATTCAGGTATTTTTATTAACTTTTCAGGTAGTATCTATTCTACAGAAGATCTACAGAACAGATTTCCTACTCCAAAGTTACCTATTGTGAGCACTCAGCGAGCTGTGAGAGGGAGTTTCCAGTTTCTGATGCAACTGGATTACATCTTTCTGTGCCCTGAGCAGCTCCAGACTGACGAAAGGTACTGTTTCCAGCGAGAGGTTGTTGGCATGACCTCTGCTTCCCACCTTATACCTCCCACTCGACTGTCACAACACCATGCACAAATGAATAATTTTATAGGGAACAACTCCAGAAACATTTAGAGGCATGCCCCCAGGTGTCTCCTATTCTTGTACAGTTGTGTCAGCAGAAAAACAGCCCAGAGTTACTGTGACTTGGATGCTACCACACTCAGGGATCCCACATAATTGTGTGAAGTCCGCCTATTTCTAATATATCAGTCATGTGGAAGGTAAAATAGATTAATTCAATTAAATTTAATTAATTAAAATTAATGAAAGCCAAGTTAATAGAAGTGTAGGACATTTTCTCCCTCCTAATCCATAAAGAATTGAAATTTGTACATGGGAAAGTTTACAAGTCTTTCTCAGTAGCACTTCTTTTTTTTCTTTCAATGCAAAAAAGATATGCAGAAGACTGCTTTTAGGACTCTAAGGAAAGTTAGAAAGTAGAAAAGAGAGAACCTTTTCTGTTCAATATGGCATAGTAAGACACTTGTTTAAAGAAAAAAGTCAAAAATATTTCTGGAAAAGAAGTTATCACAGCTCAGTCCCAGAGTACATGAAGTATAAAACACACGGGAACAGGAAAGAGCAACAAGAAATCTGTGTTTTCATGTAATATCTTCTTTTCTATGTATAACTTAAAACCGTATTTTTCCAGATGATTCACCTTCTGCTAGTGTTTAACATTAGCTCAGTAGGAAAAAAACAGCCTGCAAGCATCACTGCAGCATACTCCTGGAGTACAGTTCAAAAGTTGTTCACATGCTGATCCATCAGGCTAACTCCCAAACACGAAGTAACTCCCCAAAATGAGCCAAGAATGTGTGCCTGCAGCCCAGAAAGCCAACCATCTCCTGGGATGCATCAAGAGAAGTGTGACCAGCAGGCTGAGGGAGGTGATTCTGCCCCTCTACTCTGCCCTTGTGAGACCCCACCCGCAATATTGTGTCCAGCTCTGGAGCCCCCAACACAAGACAGACATGGAGCTGTTGGAGCGAGTCCAGAGGAGGGCCACAAAGACGGTCAGAGAGCTGGAGCTCCTCTCCTACGAGGACAGGCTGAGAGAGTTAGGCTTGTTCAGCCTGGAAAAGAGAAGGCTCTGGGGACACCTTATAGCAGCCTTCCAGTACCCGAAGGGGCCCTACAAGAAGGCTCAGGAGGGGCTTTTTACAAGGGCCTGTAGTGACAGGACGAGGGATAATGGAAGAGCGTAGGTTTAGACTAGATATAAGGAAAACGTTCTTTACCCTGAGAGTGGTGAGGCCCCGGAACAGGTTGCCCAGGGAGGTTGTGGATGCTCCATTCCCAGAAGTGTTCAAGGCCAGGTTGGATGGAGCACTGAGCTGCCTGATCTAGTGGGAGATGTCCCTGCCATGGCGGGGCGGTTGGAACTGGATGATCTTTGAGGTCTCTTCCAACCCACATCATTCTATGATTCTATACTCACTGCAGTGTGAAAATTTCTTACCTTGCATCATTTATTCTACTTCGTGACACTGACAAACAAAGAATAAACAAAATACCGCTGGTGTGATTTAAACCAAATAAAAAGAAACAATTCTTTCTGCAGTATTTCTTATTCACACCTCTACCCTCCCATCCCTATTCCCCATAAAGAAAAAATTCTTTACCGCTGGAGTGTCGTTAAGGAAAATTTTCAGATCTTTAAAATTACTGTTAACAAGTTTCTTTGCTCCTCGGACTTGGTTAGTTAAATGCTGGTTGGCAGCATATGCACAGAGCACTCCAACACTACAAAAAATACAGATAATAAATATTTCATTATTACTGTAAATGTCCATTCTGATATAAAACAGAACCAAAAAACTACAGCATAAAAAGTCAACATTACCAAAATAACGGTCTCCATAAATTCACATTCTCTTTTTCTTAATACAAGTTCTCACATGCACCACAAGGCAGAACAGAGGAATTAGCTATAACAGCCAATATTGTACTACTAATTAAAAAAAAAAAAAACCACACAAGGAAAAAGCAACATTAACTCAAAGCCTTCAAAAGTTATTAATGTACACCTACTTATCCATTTGCCTTAATGCTGTCAGCAAATGTGTACTGCCTAGGCAAATTGTAAAAGACTTAGAAACATTAGGCTCCTTTTACAAGTATCATTAAACCTAACACAGCTACAAGCAAACGCTCCTAAGTTAACTGTGAAAAGGAGCATTCCACATTTGAAGATCTCAGCAACATTTATTCCTAATGCTCAATTTTTTTTACTTAATTGCCCAGATCTTTTAGAAGCGCATGAATGGTCCCTACTAATGCTAAAATAATATATAAGCATTTCCTGATACTAAAACAAAAGGTGGAAAGTGAGCTAGATTTCCAGTCAGTCTTGCAGCTGATTATTTTCTGTTTGATCATTCCCTGCTGTAAAATTCTAATTACAGCATGGCAGATCTGCAAAAACAGTAAATAAGAAGGCAATTAGAAGTCCCATGACAGGTTTCAAAAGCTCTCTCAGCACACATGATCCTCAGGCTTTTTGCTTAGTTTAGGTGCAAAATAGACTGAAACAGACTTTTTTTTTTTAAACATCTCACATTCACAAGAGCTAACCTTTCAGATAAGAACCACCGGAGGGGTAAGAGCCTCACAAGCAGGCTGACTACAATCCCACTGGATGGGTTAAGCACCAACTTTCCACAGACTGAACTCATGAAGAGCACAAACCCACTCAGCACAGGCATGACCCATCCCCAAAGGGCAAACACTGCCCACAGGCTGCAGTCTGGTGCGATGCAGGCAGCTCCTGGATGTCTCATTAGTTCAGTCTCTTACTTCTCGTGGTAGAACAGCAGCAGCTCAACACCAGAGAGGCAGGAGTGCCCTGGAAAGGGCTTTATGGACATCCAGAGGACCAATGCTCTCAGGAAAATTTCAGAACAAGATATGAGGAGAGATGGCAAAATTATACGCTATAGATGCTGGTCTATTAGAATCACCTCACTAATATTTTTCTCTATATGCAAAAATATTCAGAACAGCATGACAGAGTTTAACAGAGGTTGCTTCTCTAGCCAAAATTTCTGTGTCTTCAAAACTGGTTATTAACTACCGTTCCCAAAGTCCCTAATGAACAAATGGACACCAACATTTATTTCACTGGTTATTTAACTAACAGCAAACGGCACAGTTTTATTTCCACTATGATCAACACTAACTAGATGCTACTGCCCACAGAATGAAAGCTCAGAGTGTATAAAATGCCAAGAAACTGAGTAATTTTCAACATAAGTAGAAGTAAGCACATTCATTTTGGACACAAGCAATATGTTATTTCTTTTTACTCAACAGTGATAGTAATTGTTCTTAAAACTTTTTTTTTTTTAAAATTGGAAGACAAACTATGACAAGATATCAGGAAAAGCAAACATTTGTATATCACTCTGAGGTTCACAATTTATAACAACATCCTTTTTCTTTGGACAGCCAGGGGTTTTTATGTCCTTTCCATGTTATGCTCACAGAGCAGAAAGGTCAATTGCAAGCTAACAAAACAGTACTTTGTAAGACTTGAACACAATCGTTTTTCTCTTCAATCTCCTAAATGGAAGGAGTGGGAGGAAACAAGATAGCAGAGATGCTTTAAGCAGACAAGGTATTCAGAACAATTATGACTACGTTCTGAATGTAACTAAACAAACACACAACATGAGGGAGGAAGAAAATAAAAATCTATTTATTATGTAATCAAGCCTTGAGTCAACATTCAATAAGCAGCTACATGGAGAAAGTCATAAAGCCAGAATAAAAAGAACATGTTTTCTTCTGTAATAGATCTGAGAACTGTTTAAACAGTCTCTTCGGCAGTCAGATATTCCATGCTCAATTTCTTGTCAGGTTTCAGAGATGACATAAATGTTACCAATCCAGTTGCAGGGGAGACACAAGCTTTTCCTGTAGCTGTGTTGGCAAAAAATTTAAAGTGACAAAATAGAAACCCTGAGCGTATTTACATATTGGAAGAATGTCACCTTCCTTCCTACTAGCTAACGAATTTAAGGAAATAATGAGCTAAGATTTCTGCACCAACTTTTTCACCAACTCTTTCAGAGAATATCAATTCCCAGGTTGTGAACAACATGCATGACCAATCTCACAAAGCCAAGAGGACTTCTATGAAGCCTGCATGAGGTACCTGCCAAGACACCAGCTATCATTCCCCTTTCTTCACATTTGGCAAGATCCACACATAACAACATCCAAGACTTCAATAAAAAAGTTTAAATACAAGCTTTCTTGGAAGGATAGAAACCCGACTTCGTGATTTTTCTATCCAATAACGTTTGTTATTACCAGTATTAAATCTTGTATTGCAGCATATGTTTTCTTAAAAATCAAATCGTCACTTCCTTGCCTTTACGATGTAGAGGAATTAATGAAATGACTTTTTTTTTTTCCCCCCAAGAGACAGCACCTGTTTGCCTAAGTTTGCAGATGACTAGGAAATAAGACGTAATAGCAGATCTCTGTCCCTAAACTCTTTGTTAACCTTTGAAGAAAAGCAGGTAATTGTTTTAATAATAAAGTTGGAATACCAAACCTATTCAGCAGCCTATTTTATAGATTATTTTTACATCCTGTGCTCTTTAGCAATAGAATTCTACTTTGCAGGACAACATTAATGTATAAAAATTATGAATTAAAAAAACACTGCATGTATTTTTGACTCAATCTAACAAAAGAAATATTTCAAGTACAAAATGCATGTACTGAAAAATGGCACAGTTAAGGCCTATTAACTTAGAGATAAACAAATGTGTACACAATCACAAATCTTCTGACTTGTTTCTTATATCTCTCCTTGAAAAAACTATACTTCCTACATAGACTCCACCTTTAGATAACAGATCTAGGTAGAGTGCTTTTTTAATTATTTTTTAAAATAAATTCTTTTATCTTTGTATTTCCTTTACACGTCATTCCAGTAAACTTCGTATTAAAACCTCATCCTAATTACCAGAGCACTGTATCAGTGGAAAAGTAAGAAATAATGTTCCTTGTGTTTAAAATCTACTAGCTAAAATCTTATAAAATCTACATTAACAGCATATATATGTCATTGTGAACTTGCACGCTGACACATAGAAAAGCCCTCCCTGTGTTTCTAGAGCTCTGAAGAGTCGCTGCCTATATACCCAACCTATTGCAAGCTCCACCTTTCATTTTCCCCTACTAACACTCTCCAGTGTGCATTTGACCTTTCTCAGCCAAGGAAAGATAAGTTTGGATCTTCCTTTCCATATGAAAAAGAGAGTTTAATTAAAAAAAGTAAAAAGAACTTATGCTTCCCCCTCTCCAAAGTTCTAACCATTTGACTGAGAAAATCCCCGAACTGCTGGCACTGCAAGAGAGAGGGAGAGGAAGATGCAGCACACACACACAGAGACAGGAGAACTGAAGAAGTTCATCCCCTAGAAATCCTTGTGTGCAGCTGTGTGCATGTACGCTCCACTGGAGGGCCTGTAAATCAAAGCTCCACTGGCAGAGCTGGGGGTTCAGGACTCTGATGGATGCCTCCCTTGCTAAATGCATCTTCTGAAGCGGCATAGCAGTTGGTGAAGGAACGTACGGTGTTCCAGTCACCTGGCAGTGGTTTGGGAGACGTAGGCCCCTCATGCCACATCAACTTTAAACCATACCCAAACAATGAGATGACCCACCTTAGTGATTTCATGTCAATTCTTCGATTTAACCCTGTATTAACAGAGATCATTCAAGTTTCTGTTCCTTTAGCTCTGTCTGCAAGCAGCCATAAGCATTTTACCTGCACATTACTAAACTCTTTTCACTACTGTCACAGCTTACGTATTCAGCTGCAGCACACTCCTTGAGAAGCGTGATTTTAGGTAGATCAACCACAGGTAAATCTTCCACCAAAGCTGAAATTATGTGGTAACTTGGGGGAAAAAGTAGAGAACAAATTCATAAGCAGTCTTAGCCCAAGTACAGTAAAAGAAATGGAGAAACAGATGTAAGTAACTATCAGCTTTCTCCATTTATTTTGAGGGGGGGCAATGGCTATCAACAAGACTGTCCTTTTTTTTTTCAGCATAGCAGTAAGCAAGCTGACAGAGACTTGAACAGATTCAGGCACAACATCTCCTCTTCACTTGTGAGAGAAGATCCAGGAAGGGCACAGAATCCTGGAGGCGTACTGGAGACCTGAGCACTCAGTCAGTCTGGGGTCAGTAATATTAGCCTTGTAAAGTCCTATCTTGCCTTGCACAGCACTCACAGCATTAGAGAGTGAGCCAGGGAGTCCTATGAGATTATCTCCACCTGTGGAAACCTGCAAGCAGAGCTCAGGCAAACCCCCTACTTCAGATAGTCCTGATGTCTTACACAAAAGGGGGGCAGAAAAAAAAAAAAAGGATGAGTTAGAGGCAGTTTCCCTAGTCCTGGAAAGCATGTTACTAAGGATCACTGATCTTCCAGTGACCTGGGAAGAAGCATTTGCCAGTGCCGGCTACGCTTAACACCACAAGAATAGTTGGCAGCAAATGCGCAAGTTAAAGAGACCAAGAAGGGGGACCACTTCTTAATTTCTCTGCTGACAGGCAACATTCCTCAGCCATTATAACCAGAATGCAGCATCCTGCACCACAGCATCCTGCAATGCGGTGTAAAGACAGTCAGCAAGCTCTGTGAGCTACCTTCAGTTTTGGCATGCTGAGAGGTAATTTAAGAACTTACTTTCTTTGAGGCACCACTGTGTTATGAAGAACTTTTCTTCTGCCATCACAGCAGGGAGATGCAGCTATCACCTTACAATACCTTTCTGCTTCCTGGTCTTCAGCATACTTAAGTGTCATGTTTGTTAGTGATGCCTGGGATAAAAGAGCACGTTCCCAGACCTGATATCAGCGTGGCTTACATCTGAGCATACCCAAGGTCTCAATTTGTCATAACAAACAGTAGTAAAAAGAAAACCAAACAAACTAGATTACAGAAAAGTGACAAAGTAAGTCCCACCTGACTGAACAGTGACAAGAGTACAGATTGAAAGACTATTTTTTCACAAAAAATATAATCACAAAATAAAGATAGTAGCCAGGTAAAAATATGAAGCATTTCAAGGAAAATAAAGAGTCTGAAAGAAAACAATGTATTTTGAAAGCATCCACACCGGAAGTCTTTATTGTAGTCCCTCAGCACCTGCTACGCACCCAGCACAGGAGTATGCTCCTAACACCATGAGCATAAAAATGTCTCCCAACTGCAGGATTTAAAAAGTGAGTGCATGCATAGTTCGAACAATTCAGTGCCCAGAAGAAAGCCCATTATTTTGAACTAGCAAGGAAATATGGAAGACAGCATATACTGAAGGAGGTCACACAATTGCTTTTCTCATCTCTATTACGTTATCAAGAACAAAGCTGCATGTTGGACCCTCAAGTTCTCTATGGGATGGTCACTGAACACAGGACACACTACGCTCTGTTCGTAAGTCTAACGCAACATTCTGCAATGTTTTGAGACTGGCAAAAACTTTTGTTTGCCAAATTCAAGCTTTGTTTTTGTGTCACACCTACATTCCTCTCAAGTAAATACACAGTGACCTGTGGATAGCAATGGTAGCAGCGTTTTTACAATGCAGACACGTTTTCTTTAATAAGCAATAATATTACTTAGTCTAATAAAATCATTTCTGCACCTGTAGGCTAACACAGTAACATCATTTGTCATATGACACTGCAAAATCAGCGCTATACCAAGCTTCATATTGTTCTCTTTATTACACTTGCCTTATTATTAAAGAAGCAACAAAAAGAAATGTTGCAAAACAGCTCCTCTGACAGTCAGCATTTTTCTTCTGTCTTTGATGCATTTCCCCACCACAGTTGTCACAGCAACGACACATACAGAAGCAAAGTCCCACAAGAGGCAGTAACAAAATAAATAGCAATCCCAAGGCTGCGGAGACTATAAAACCGATTTCATAGTAGATGGCCTGCAATTCAGACAAAAATAGTGGTAATAGCAGATATCACACAGTAACTGCAATCAACAAAGAGCAAATAATTAAAAATCAAACTACAGACTAAACCATCTACTAAGTTACCAAGGTTACAGACTTGGTTTATTTTGTCAATAATTGACAACTTTTCTAACAAAAATATATTTAACACTGTAGATACAGATAGCTAATAATTATTTAGCTAAAACATTACCCAGCTAAACTACAGGAGGGAGTGCTAAAAGAGAAATACTCTTACAAGAAACAAACGTGAATTGATGAAACTGAAATAGGTTAAAACCAAACACAATTGTTTTCCCAGACCACGAATTTACTGTTTCTCTCATCTGTTTCCAAAACGGCTTCACAAATGCCAACAAGGCTCACTAGATCAACACTTCTTCTGGGAGGGGGCAGGGAGGCTTAGACTGTTCTCCTTCTGAGCCAGTTATGAGTGCAAAGATGTGTATGAACCGCAAAGGGAAGTACTTCACTGGATGACTGATTGCAGCAGCAGAGGTTTCTCCAAACTGCTGAAGTAAAAACTGCCTAGGGGCTGGAAAACACGGAGGAGTGGATTTTAAGCTCTCTCAGGTAAAGACATTTATTCTGCTGCCAAACCGCAAAGCAGCAGCAGCACAACTAAAAGGATGCTTTCAAAAGCTGGAAGGAGTGCACGGGAGCGATGCAATGCAATACCCTAAACTAGCTTTTCTGCTGGAAGCAGTGCGAGTGCCCCAGGACCCACAAGTTGGGCCAGGCAGCCCTGGCACGGCCCCACAGGAGGCAACGTGGCTTCCAGGGGACAAGCTGTGAGCTGGCCCTGCTGTTTGTCCCTCTGCCGCAAACAGCAGTCAGCACACCCAGAACCCGAGCGGGCAGGCGTCTGGGCGCAGAGCGGCCAGCTCGGTGTGGGCATGCCCCAGAGGTCGGTCTTCCCTAATACATCTTTCCCAATTTTAGGAGAACTAGTGCTCACGCTAGTACTTCCGAGTCCTCTTCTGTCGCCCTAATCTGCAGGCACAAGGGCAACCTGGCCGTAAAGGGATGAAACTGAGGCTGTGTGTTGTCCTGCAAAATAAGTTACAATTTCTCGCAAGCTATCAATCATGCTCCAGTTCCAGCTTTGCCCATGCCCTTCCTCACAATCCCTAATTACCAACTGATCCAAATAGAGCAAACCCATCACCATTAGCAGAGTTGCAAATTTCTGACCTAATTACCAATTCTAGGATGAAATCTATTTTTTTATTCATTATTAACCTCTGGTTAAGAGTTGCTATCCCTTCTGAAGAACATAAACTCAATATTTGGAAGAACTTGGCTGGATTTTGCACAAGAATTACCATTTCCCAGTTAGCTGAACACTTCAGAAATTATTTGACAACACAAATTTTAGAATAAGTTAGATGGGAAAACACATTTTAAATAACATTAAAAATAGTTATGTATGTTGTAACAGAAGTAGTGTACACACACACAGTTAGTTTCTTTCCAAAGCTGTGCATCTACCGTAAGACATTACCTGAAGAGTCAGGACAACATTTTCTGGCTGTGGAAGTCAAAACAAACAGGGAATGTGTATAATACACAGGCAGCATGCACAAAAACAAAATCACGTGAATAATGAATAATTAACCACAACCAAAAAAAATTAACAACACAGAAACAATAATAAAAAGCCACTAAAGTCAAATCATACATAGAAGCACCATTAAATAATTATGGAAAACTGTTTACAATAAAACACACAGCAGATAATTTCTGGTTTCCTTAGTAAGTGAAAGGAATCTAGGATTTGTCAAGAAAAAAAAAAAACTTCCATATTAAAACAGGCCTACTATTCCCACACTGAGCATCTGTTTCATATAATTACCAACACATCTTATGGAATAAAAGGGCAGATATTTCATTACTTTGTGGTTAAGCAATTTCTGCACAAATTCCACCTGTCATAATTGACCTATGATATTCCTGACTAACTTTTTCTTTCAATGTTCAATTTATTTCAGCATAAAAATGTGAGTTTTAGTGGAGGTTTTGGGACCTTAACACATTACACACGTTTCACCATTACTTTTATTTAATTAGGTAGTGGTTTATTTTAAATTACTCAAAAGCAAAGAAGAAAAGGCATTCAAGAAAGACTGAAGAAGTCTATTTATCAAAGTTCTTAACTGATTTTTTATCTATAATTTCAGAAAAATACTGGGAACTAATATTCAATGACAGGAATTTCAGAACCCAATTTTCTCCTTTGATTCCACAATGAAAACATAATTTCTTCTATTTTTCATCTCTGTATGACGAGTTCGCAGCTGGTAACACTTTCTCATTTCTCATAAGTGGAAGAGAAAAGGGAAGCAGACAAGCCAAAGACAGCAAGGCCCCTCAACACAAAGTCTGACATGTGAGATTCAGCAATGTTCTCAAGTTTTAGGAAATTTTTTTCAGCCTCACCCCCACCATTATGAAATTTCTACTGTACGACAGGCTTAAGATGTTTAAAATCATGTTAGGAGCTATACTTTTAATGGGAAGAAAACAAATAGTTACCCTGCCTTAAAAATCCAGGACCAGGTGTGATTTTGAACATTTTACGCAAGCCCATCACCCAGCAGAAGTAAAGCCTCGGTGGCAGCAGCGACCGGGCTCTCCTCGAGCAGGAGCAGCAGCTGTGTGCAGCTGTGAGGCTGGCCTGGCATATCCATGTCCCTCACAGGGGACAGGGAGACCTCGACGGTCTGGAACACAGGGACACGCAGCACAAAAGACAGAAGAGCCCTGTGTGTCACTAATCCATTCTTCAGGTAAGTAACAAGATAAATATCAGAATTACATCTCCTGTTCTCACCGCTCTAGGGTTGTTCCCAGAACTTTGTGAACTAGTGAGACCTGGGATGTACAGCATGCTTGGGATTCGAGGATGATGAAGGGACTTGAACATCTCTCCTATGAAGAGAGACTGAGGAACTGGGGCTGTTTAGCCTTGACAGGAGACGGCTGAGAAGGGATCTTATTAATGTACACAAATATCTGAGGAGTGGGCGTCAAGAGAAAGGAGACAATTTCTCCTCAGTGGTGCCCAGCAATAGAACAAAAAATAATGGGTTTAAAGTTTAAAGAACATAGGAAGTTCCACTTCAACACGAGGAGAAACTTCTTTTCTGTGAGGGTGACAGAGCACTGGCACAGGCTGCCCAGAGAGGGTGTGGAGTCTCCTTCTCTGGAGACTTTCAAAACCCACCTGGATGCATTCCCATGTGGCTGCCCTAGGGCATCCTGCTCGGGAAGGGGGGGTTGGACTAGATGATCTCTAGAGCTCCCTTCCAACCCCAGACATTCTATGATTCTCAGAGGTCTTTTCCAGCCTAAAGATTCTGTGATTCTTACATGGTTGTATGCATGGCCCATTTCTGCTCCTTTTTTTCTGTGATGTCACCATCTTTTGCCCAAATAGCAGGGTTTTTTTCCTCCTGGTGTTTCCTCTCAGCATATATCTATAAGGAGTCATCACGCCCCTTATCAATCATTTTGCTAAGCAAACTCTTCCAGTCTCCTCCGAAGACCTGTATGTTTCCCAGATCATTCCAATGCACACTTTCTGAATCCATCCTACTCAAAGTTCATTCTACCTGAATCTGAGTGATCCAAACCAGAGGCAAGTTTTCTAACTACTTACCTGCACCCTTCAGCAGCATTCACACTTCTCCATCCCCACTGGAAATTTCTCTGGAGCACACCTACAGCCACGCTGGCCTCTTCACAGCTACTTCTCACTGACGCTTCTGTCTTATGAGGGACTCTCTACTTGTCTTTACAGATTTTCTTCTTCCAAATTTGTTATAAAGTTTTGCATTGCATTCAGGTCAAAATTAGGACTTATATATGGCCTATATCCATTTTACTTCCTAAGCACACCTAATATTGTATTTGCCCCTTAATAATCACACAGTATTTTAAAGAAGTGTCTCTGCTATGCAGGGTTAGAGCTGTCATTAGTCTCAAATTTCTCATGATTTACATAGTACTTACAAACACTATACTCACAGTCAGATATATACCACCTATGTCGTAACAATTTTGTCTGAAGACTCTCCCAAGCAAGTCCACCCTACGCTCCTCCCTCGGCACGCAGGCACAAATCTGTGCCGCACCACTCTCGCAGCCCGACCAAACAAGCACATGGGATCAGCAGGAGTCGTCTGATGCAGCATAACAACCCCCATGCGCTCGGATGTCACGTGGGGGTATCAAACTACTGGGGTGGTGGGCTTGTGATCAGAAAGACATGGAAGCACAAGGCTTTCCCCCCTCCTCCAATCTCAACATCATTCAGGTCATCCCTATTCGTGGCAACGGCTCAGTGCCTGTAGGGCCAGGCTCATCCTCATCCTCCTGACAGGCACACCGTGCGGCAGGGACTACAAGGAGCGCACACAAAGCAACGTGTCCATTGCATGGTCCTGGTTAAGGTTCCTACTGCAGGGACTCAGTGGCATTGCTTCAAAGTTACTGTCCTTGGAAACACTCTAAAGTTAGATCTGCATTATGTTCCATCTTCTCTAGCTTCCAAGCACCCTATGAATTTCCACTGTTACTGGATAATCACAAACCCAAAGTGAGAATGGGAAATGCTTTTGATGTGATTAGCACACTACGTAAACTAAAACATACTTTATAAGTAGGCTATGGAAACTTCATTTTACAAAGGCACCAGAATCAGCATATAAATTCAGCTTTTTGAGGACAATAGTTGAAGCTAACATGAGAGCCAAGTAGTAATGGATCTCTCTAAGCATTTTAAAATAAAAGCAGCATTTTTCAACACAAAGAGCCTTCGGATCTTTGTGTAGCAGACACCATAATCATATTACAGCTGGAATTTATAACTGAGCCTTAACTATGCATAGCTTCTTACAACAGCTTATGAAATTTTCTTTGTAATATTTTTTGGAACATTTTGGTCCCAAATTTTGTATCAAACCATCATACACATCATTCACAAAATTTCTTTCTTGCATCCTGTCGTTACAGATTTAAAATACTATTGCATATTTTTGCAATAAATTTCAAAGTCACTGTTTTTATTATTTTATGCAGATACACATAGACAATTTACCTTTTGATAATCGCCCTGTGTATTTCCAAACTTCTGCTGTGCTAGTTTTCTGATGAGATCTGAAAATAAGCAAGAACATTCCAGAGTTTTAAACAACATAAATAATAAAAACAGGGGAAAGAGGATGGTATGAATTCTGCTGTTAGGCAGGCAAAATGAAATTAAGACCAGACATCAACAGGATGGGCAAGCACACAAGTGATTCCATAAATCTGTCTAGTAACAAGGTGTTTAATCAACTGTGTGTTTTATGAGCTTATAAGAAAGTAATCACATTATTGATCAATTAATCAGTTCCCATTGAAATACAGTGAAGGTTTTTCCAAGGTCATCCCCTGTACCATGGCATCATTATTAAAAGTTAATCACAAACCTATCAGTTAATTTGACAAAGCTCCGAGTATCAGTTTTGCTTCATGTTTATGACTTGCACATACACACACACACACAGAATTGGATACGTAACTTGAAACCCAAGCATTTTAATGATGACTTATTGACTGAATGGTACAAGGAAAAGGCTCTTATTTTTCCAGTATTATTCCAGTCTTCTTTCTTTCTTTCTTTTCCATTTTTTTGTGAAATTTTTCAGTGAAATATCTTCACGGAGTTCACAGGGGCTGTGAACTCATGCTTCTAATCTTTTACGTGGCTCAGGAAAACAAACCCCTAAGCAAACAGCACCTGTAGTTCTCCCTCCCAAACGCCCTGCAGAGGAAATGGACTGACTGATCTGCAAGTTGAATAGACCCTGAAGCGTTCCTCACAGAACACTATGTCCAAGGAAAGAAAACACACAACAGCAGGGCAACAAGAAAGATTCCCTGCAAGGGACCTACAGCCAGTAAGACTATAGATAATAAAAAAAACCCAAAAACCAAACACCCACAGCAAAATACCCACATGAAACTGGCAACATATCAAAGGAATGTTCAAGCTGCAAATCATCCACAGACAAGCAGTATATTCTAAAACGCAGAAAGAGCGCTAGCAGTACATGATCAAGGACCTTCTAAGGTGAAGCAACCTCATTTTAGAGAGACCACGCATATGCTAAAAGATAAGGCTGAATCCCATGGCATCAGAGGTAAACACAAAACATATGTAAAACAAGCACCCGGGAAGAACAAAAGTTACATCCTTGCAAATCCTTTCAAGCTGCACACCTGGAGAGTCAGGAAACCGCTGAGACACAGAGCACACCCCACTGCAGGGGGAGCACAACCGATCCACATGATCCATCGACCGACCAGGGAGCCCTCCTGCGCGCAGGGACCAGCTGAGCCCTCCCTGTATCAGGACCTGCCCACGGTCTCTGGGAGCTTCAGCAGCAAGAAGGTAACAGCGACAGGCGGCAGAACTGAACCAACTCCAAAAACATAATTCATGCTGGCTGTTAGGCATTTTTTTTTCCTTCTTCAGCAGGGGCAACATTTCTTTCTTCTTGTTCATATCTACATACCTACCAAATACGTAGATTTGAGAAGCACTTGTGCATATAATACAAAATGCAAGGAATTTTCTCTACAGCTACGTGCATTTTAGCAAAGCATGAGAAGAGGGCTAAAATAACCCTCTTGTTTACATACACATTCAACCATTTACCGTTGTGTGACAACACACCAGAGAACAGCCACTGAAGAGAAATTTCTACCGCTTTTTATCAGAACATAATGAGAAGGAAGAAAAAAAGAGCTTCAGTGATCCTCACTTCCAGGCTGCTCCTAACTCAGAGGTTCATCTTGCTTTGGAAAAGGGTTGGATCCAACAACCTCCAGAGATCCCTTCTGATCTAAATCATTTCATAAGCTCTCCTACAATCATGCTGACTTTTTATTATGAATTATTTAATGGAGGAGTGAAAGCACTTCCAGAAAGCATGTAAGAAAGCTAAAATTTATTACTGACAAAGGTTTCCTACTGCTGGGAAACAGTACAAGATAAAATGTTAAAATCATAAGCCTTTCCATTAAATAAAACTAGGAAGGCTTTACCACTTCTTCTAGTTGAGTGCCTGTCCCAGTCATAAACTAAATTGAAAATTAAGCAAAAAAAAAAATTTACACAAAGTTTCACAGACATATATATAAATGTGTGTATGCATATGTAAAACTACTCAAGAGAAACAGAGGGTGGTTGAGGCTGGAATGGTCCCCTCAAGATCGTCCAGTCCACCCCTCAGCTCAGTGCAGTCATCTACCACAGGTCACCCACAGTCCCTCCAGTCAGGGTTTGAGTATGCCCAAGGAGAAAATCCAACACTTAATAAAAACCTCAAACTGCTCTGATTACTTGTGATATGCTTAAATTCCTCAGGATGTTCCTGATTCACAGGTTTTATTTATACTGCTCCTGTAATTCATAGCCTGCCAGTCAAAAAAGACAGAGAGAAATCAACCCGAATGTGTTATGACAAATTGATGCATTTTTAATGTGGTTTTGAAATTTAGAGACTATAAAGCCTGTTCATCAGAAACTAAAACAGCTTTAGGTTTAAAATAAACAAGAAAGCATGAAAATAGGTAGAAAAAGTTCCCACATGGATTGAATACATTAGTGAGAACAATATGGATTTTATACCCAGCACAACAGCCACTATTACACAGCCTATTTTTTCCCCTTAATTTTCCAGAATGTGAGATTTCCCTGCTGAATAAAGACTTACTACTTACATTACTTCGTAATGATTTTTTCAGAGGTAATGCAATGCTTCAGGGTGTTTTTCTCACCAGGCAGCACACAGTGATTGACCAGTCTTTGCCATGAACTTATTGTTTCAATAGCCTTCAGTATCAACTGGATTAGACATATTCCCAGTTAATTCCTTTCAAAAGAAATGTGGAAGTCATATGTATTTCCATGAAAAAAAAAAAAAAAAGTTTTGACTATAACTGAATGCGAGATTACCTGCAGTGAGTACAAACACGCCGTAGGGGGTTTGCAGCATTAAGAATCTCCCTGCTCACTGCAGGGGTGTTGGACTAGATGATCTTTAAAGGTCCCTTCCCATCTGAACTATTCTCCGATTCTGTTAGATTTTACACACCTTGATACCAACCACAGTTACTACTACAGCACTTAACCCTTACACAGGGGAACATCCCATGCCAGGTACTGTGTTTTCACACACGGCTACACTGCTCACCCTAGCACACTGCAGGGACAGCTCAGCTCCCATTTCATGCAGCTTGTGAGTTTGGATCGCTTTTATGAAGCACCTTTTCCCCCCTAGCTAGAGCACCTCTCATCTCTAGCATTCAAATAAGTTTTTACTGAAAACCGAACTACGGTAACTCCACACGATTCTCTTCTGCATTATGGGTAGAGTATCACCTGGAGGTCGATTTCCGATTCAAATAGAAAAGTGCTAGGAAGGTGGGATAAAAAGTGGTGTCCTCTATTTTCAAATTAACGGGATTACTTCTGAAATCTTGGCTTGACCAGCTGCACACATTGTTTCACAGGACCAGTAATCCAAGGCTTTAGCACAGAATACATTTTATCGCTGAGGTTAAAGAGATTTACCTTCTGAGGCTCATTTACACAGCTAATGACATTACTGCTTTGCTCTGACTCCTTCCTGCTCTCATCACACATGCGAAATGCCATCTGCCCTAGTAAATCTAACTAGCCAGATGAACTCTTAATTTACCAATGCAATCTGTGATGAAATATTAAGCACCTCTGAGGAGTCCCGGTTAAGAAAACACCACCATCAACTCCTGCGTTGCACATGTATTGTGTACATACACTCAGTATCTCATTACACAGACAAGAAAATGAGGTTAGCACTAGGTTTCTTTCTTAGAACTGCTCTACAGAAAGGGAGAGCAAAAATAATAAGAGATTTAAAAATAAGCTGTTTCGCTATTAAGAACCAACGTATATTAGTTATAAATTCTTCTGCCAAGAAAGCTTTTCAAAACTAGGTGACAGGAAAACTGCTGGTGTAAAACCTTCGGGAATGTTATGCTTCATCTTCACTCCAATAATTCCACTGTACCCGTCCAGTTACAGTGCAACTCCAGCATTAATAAAATTATGTCAGAAATTAATTTATTATCTTTTTATGCATAATATAACATATTAGGCTTCTATTCCAAAAAGGACTTCAAGCAAACCAGTAAGAACCATGACAGAAGTATTCATGTCACACTGAATGGAAATTCCTCCAAAAAACAGGGGAGAATTACATAGATATTGTAGATGATAAATCTATAACTGCTTTAATGCTATCTCACTGTAATTTATATCATATGTGTGACAGGCACTATAAATGACAGAAGCATCCATGTTGTAACGAAAGGAGATTCTTCAGAACAACAGAGAAGAATTACATAGATAATGTAGATGATAAATCAGTAACTGCTTTAATGCTATCTCATTCTAATTTATATCATAGTATTTCATCCTGCAACACAGTGCTTCATCTGT